GAGTTGGTAGCAGGCCTGTGTCTGAAACAATTACATCTCAATTACAGTGTACAAATTTCTGGGGTTTTCCCACCTACAGTAGTAATAAAGATCAACCCTCACTTCTGCTCTATACAACCCCAATACTGTTCAGCCACTAATGTCATACAACTGTAAGTCGAGCAAGTCAGGTGCAGTGCACAGACATTGTAATGCTACAGCACCCCAACTGAGTGTTACTCTCAGCAATATTGTGTTTTATAAAGGGAGCTTGTTGAGGTTTAAGAGTCAGTTAGAACTGTGAAAAATGCCCCCATTACCCTTTTTGTGGTACCGAAGTGGCTGTTTTAAGGGATATCGCCTTCATATCTTCGCTTATTCCCCCCAGCATCGCTGGAGACAGAGGTGGCTTCATTAAGCCTTGTCTTTGAATGGTCAGAAAGAGTGTGCCGGGGCAGTCTTGACCAAAAAAATGGTAGTATAATATTGTCAGGTGCTTGAGAAGCTCAGCTTTTAAACTAACTTATTTCTCACTTTCTTTTACTCCTGGTGTCCTGCTTGATGAAAACCTGAAACAGATGGTGACAAGGGTAAGTTTGGACTTTAACATTTCTATTTGTCCTTTTCATCTATTTTTGTCAACAACTTCTGCTTTTAACACTTCTCTGCAGGACGTCCAGAGGAGCAGGATGACTCTGAAAACAGCACTATCTACATCACTGGGCTGACTGAGAACGCTACATTGGAAGAAGTTGCTGACTTTTTCAAGCACAGTGGAATCATTAGGGTACTTGATAGTCTTTTTCAGTAAGATGAAATGGCTTCGGAAAGATGGATGGCTTGTTGTTTATCCATGTTACTATTGGTCTAATACTGAAACATGTAAAGGGTTGGGTTACACCATGCGTCAAATGGTCTTTTATTGAATTTCTTGAAAGTTATGATTGAATATTGTTTCATTTTTCTTTCCAAGATAAACAAACGGACGGGCCTGGCTGCTGTCAACATATATACAGATAAAGAGACTGGGAAACCTAAAGGTGATGCCACCTTATCCTACGAAGAGCCTCCATCTGCAAAGGCAGCAGTCGAGTGGTTTGATGGTGCGTTGAACTTAACTGAAATCACTCCAGAATGTCTGTCCCTTTCATCACGAGTCCTCAAGATAAATAATGTTTTCCCATTAGGAAAAGATTTCCAGGGGAAGAAGCTGAAGGTTTCCATGGCCCGGCGCAAGCCCATGATGGGAATGATGCGTGGGGGCATGCCAATGAGAGGAGACCGAGGTGGCATAATGGGACGAGGAGGTACACCGTTTTAGAAGCAACAGAAAACCTCTTAAGTTTCTGTTTTTCTTTACTGAAATGTCTAACTGTTAAGTTGGAATTGGCTCTTCTCCTGTAGGAATGATGGGTCGTGGTGGGATGGGCAGAGGTGGTGATCGAGGAGGATTCATGCCACGTGGGGGTCCCAGGGGAATGGGCCGCGGAGGACCTACAGGAGGAAACATGCAACAGAGGGCAGGAGATTGGCAGTGTCCAAATGCGTATGTATTTCAGTAGTTGTACAGTATTACTCAACGAACCATGTATTGCCTTCAACCTCTGATTTTGAGTCTTTGTTTTTCTAGGGGATGTGGAAACCAAAACTTCGCCTGGAGAATGGAGTGTAACCAGTGCAAGGCACCCAAACCTGAAGGCTTTGGACCTCCTCCCTTCCCTCCTCCAGGTTACTGTCTTTTGTATTCAAACAACGGTGCTTCAGGTATTTGCATTGCTAGTATTCACTAACTGTCTTTTGGGGTTCAGGTGGTGACCGTGGTCGTGGTGGCCCAGGTGGGATGCGTGGCGGCCGTGGAATGGACCGTGGAGGGCCCGGTGGATTCCGTGGAGGCAGAGGTGGGGATCGTGGAGGATTCAGAGGAGGGCGTGGCATGGACAGAGGCGGTTTTGGAGGAAGGGGTCGTGGTGGTCCTCCTATGGATGACATGGGAAGAAGGGGGCGAGGAATGGGACCGCCTGGCAAAATGGATATGAAGTGAGTATGTTTCTGTGAAAGTGTGAAGGTTTCGTAGCCACAAAAAGGAACAGAAATGCATGATTTATTTATTTTTTGCAGGGGAGACCATCGTCAGGAACGGCGAGAAAGACCATATTGAGGGATGCCTCGCTGGTCAACATCTCCCCACACCTGTTTGTTTTTCACTTGATTTTAAAGTTGCAATTCCATATTTATAAATGGTTAGTATGGAACTCGTTACTGCTTTGCCGTTAGTCCTCAGTGAATGTTTTATTTTATTTTTTAAACTTGTTTTGTGCTTGCTTTTCTGGTCCAGAAATGTAATTGAAACCAGATGCACATGTAAATGCAGGGTGTTCAGTGTGCCATTTGGATTAGTCAGAAATATATTTGTGGAACAATGTGATTTTTTTTTTTTTTTTTAATTCCCATTACCCCTCATTTGCTTTACTCTGCTTTCGTGTCTGGAAATGTTGAATTTAAAAAAAAAACATTTTGTGGGTGTTTTAAATGCATGGCTGTAAATACTTATGCCATGTACTTGTTTTCTGCATTTACTGTCATTACTTCACCTAAATAGTGTAGCATCTTCAGTGTGACTGAGTAATGTAAATAGCTGATGCTATTCAGCCCGTTATGCCATTTCAAACAGTGTTAAAAGAATTCACCTAAAAAAATAAAATTCTGGGAAAAATTTTTTACTTGCTTTCGTTCGTGTTCGATGCTGTTATTTATTTATTTTTTAAGTGCCATCCACTAGAGCAGGAGTCTCCAAACTCGGTCCTGGAGGGCCGGTGTCTTGCAGAGTTTAGCTCCAACCCTAATCAAACACACCTGAACCAGCTAATCAAGCTTTTACTAGGTATACTTGAAACTTCCAGGCAGGTGTGTTGAGGCAAGTTGAAGCTAAACTGCAGGACAGCGGCCCTCCAGGACCGAGTTTGGAGACCCTGACCCCTGTACTAGAGAATAAATCCGTTCTGAACGGACAATATGCATGAACGCTGCTTACGTATTTCCTGTAGAATCTCAGCCAGCGACTTCACTTCCGCAGACATATTGCAAACAACAAATAATTAGTATTTTCTAAATAAGTATTGTTATAAACATACAAATATATAACATCTCATTTTTAGTCATTGCTTTCCTGAAAGTTTAAATATTAACAAAGACAGTAGTTTAGCCAAACTTTGTGTGCCGTTGTGCTAAAGGAGCGATTACCCACCTTATTCCAGCAGAATGTCTACTTTTCAGCACAACGCCCTTAATAAAGCGAAGTATTTAAGAATAAACACTAGAGACAGACTTAATTTATACCCTTGGCTACTCACACTCTTCACCACAATACAATAGAACGGCACAATATATTCATTAAAATCATGTTTAGTATAGAAATTGTGCATGGGTAAATTTAAATTTATTTACTTTTACAAATGTAGATAATGTAAATAGAAATAACTTTGATACGGGGGATATAGTGTTCACACAGTCCTAATACAGCTCGGCCACTTGGGAGGACTGAGAGGTCAGGCAGCTTGCTGGTGACACTTCTGTAAAGGGCACTCCTGAAATAAAAATAAAGTATTAAAGTAAATTCCCTAATTTTAATCTGTAGTCTGATCTTCGGTATTTTACATTATATTCATCTTTATAGTATGTTTGAATTATTTGACCTAAATGAATGTCATGCCATGTTTTTGTATGGTTAGAAAGCACTAATGCTTATAATGCTCTCAAATGCCCCTTAAAATCAATTTCAGGCAAATACTGCTCTATAATTTTACAATTAAAAAAAGTTAATTTTTGACACTGGTAGTGGGACAGTCCATTTGCTATATCTAGGCCTGGTCTCATATAGCAGGTATTTGCATAAATTATGAGTTAAGCAAAAATGTGGAGTTTAGGTAAAGTACTATTTTGACGAATTTATTGATTATAGTAAGTAAATTCAGCAGTCAACTTTTTTTCTGAATAATGACTATTGTCCACAGAAATGCTGTATTACCCGGGTTCATCCAGAAATCCTGTGTATCACACAGAGCAGAGGTTGTGTTCTGTTCTGTCTCATCTATAATATTTCCAATTATGCCAATAAAAATAGTTTGAACTTAAAGCATGTATGTATGTATTTATATATTACATTATCCCTTAATCAATCAAGTTTATTTTAAATAAGATTTGATAACCAAGAAACGGCTAAAGACACATCTCTTCCATCTACACTTGACCCTCTAACACTAGAATTCTCTGTTCTATTTCTGTCCTATCTACTTGTTTTCTTTTTAATTATGAAAAAAGCCATTATGGAGGAGGGCGAGCGGGACGTCATTTCTTTAAATTTCTACTTTTGTCGTCTGAAAAAGAAAAAGAGGGGAACAACATGCATTAGAACAACAATAGAGTGAGTAAATGAAAGTGAAATAGACTTCTTGAATAACAATTGAATTTTCTCCACCCAGTATGACTTCATGGTTAGTGAGCTAATTGTATGGTGTTTTTGTTGTGTTTTGGTTACTCGAGTAATTCTATAGAAAAGATCTGAGTGAAGATGCTTGAAAGTTCACCTTCTGTGTTCCACAGCAATAACCGGTTTGTAAGGCAGGGTTGCCAGGTTTTCACAAGAAAACCCGCGCAATCACTGCTCAAAACTAGCCCAATCGCGTTTCGAGGGGGTCCCCAGTTAAACATCGCGTTCTGGGGGGTAAAATACACGTTTTTTGGCGGGGTTCCCCTGTTAAAATTCGCATTCCAGGGGATAAATATCATGTTATTGGAGTCGCTTGACGTGAAAAGCAACCCGCGGCAACACCACGGACTTGGCAACACTGTTGTAACGATACGAGTGCGAGTAAATAATAAAGACACGTTCATTATTAACTGTGGCGCCCTCTCGTGGATGGTACAGCGCACTGCGTTGAAGACATCAGTTCAGAAATACAAATATAAAGCAGAGAGGAAAAACGCCGCATGACTTTGCAGCACCAAAAGCCATAATGCAAGAATTTGTTCGATATCGGATGCGGCCCTGCTTGCATTCATGCCAAGCTTATCTCGGGATGCATACTTTAGCTCTTACACGCCTGTGCATCCTCGCATCCGTTCTCCTCTCTAATGTCTTTGCGTCATTTGGCAGATTCTGAGCAATCTGTGCGTCCGCGATGCATCTACGTCACACACTGTGTTTCCCCCCCAGCAGCATCAGCTTTCCAGCGCATCCCGCAGAAGCGCCGCCTCTCCTCGCTGTGACCTCGCTCGTGCCCTAACCTAACCGTGTTGCATTCATGCGAAGGGACGCGCGAGGTTAACGGGAGGAGGGCAGATGTGAGGCAGACAGCAGCGCTCGTGTATCCCAGCAGCGACATGACCGAACTAGTGGTGCGGACCCTTCCGTCTCCTTCAGGTGTGCAGGGTCCCGGGCCGGACACTTATAAAGGATGGCTCTTTAAATGGACCAACTACCTGAAGGGTTACCAGCGCCGGTGGTTCGTCCTGAGCAACGGCCTCCTGTCGTACCACAGGTACGTGCGGTGCGTTTGGGTTGATGCGCACGAGGAGCGCTGGAGTCTCTCGGTGCGCATGACATTGCTGTGTCACCCTTTTCACCCGCGGTGCATTATTTGACCTTATTTGGGATAGGAGTTGCTCAGAAGTTTAATTAAAAGGCTTGCTCGTGTTGTGGGCACCGTTGACATATTTAAGCACTAGTCATTTCTTAGCTACCCATGCTGCAACAATGGCTCTCCTGTTCATAATTAGTAATGGGGACATCTGAAGCATCTAGCCTAGATCAAGTTTGCACCCTGCTTCAAGGGCCTTACTGAGAAACACTATTTAATATGCATATAGTATACAGTGTATTTATGGCTATAGAACACTGACCATACTTCTGTTTTTAAAATGTATCACCAGCATAACAATTTGAGTGAAAAACAAACATGAATGTCTTTTTAATTGCATTTGTGTAAAACCTGGTGTAAAACATATTGTGCTTCATTCAGTTCAGTCTGTAGAAAGTAGTTAAATGCTCAGTGTCATAAATTTCATTAGAGACCTTTGGAACACTCTGTTTCCCTGAAATAATAATGCCTGATTTTAATGTGTGTTTTGTATGTTCTATTTTAAATATTATTAAGGTTATTACTCTCACGTGATAATTGCTTTTGTACCCTTCAGAGGCCTTTTCGTCTTTGCAGCTGTAAATATTAGCTTGCTATACTGCAGTGTGGATTTAGTATGGATTTGATATTAATGATGCTCTGATTCAGCACTCTTGGACTCAGAAATCCTGCAGTCATTTTATGTTGTATTTGACCGGCATTTTTCAGTGGTCGACGGCAATGCTGAGATCTAGTGAGGAGGGTACTACTAATAAAATGTAAATAAATATGGTAGAATGCTAGGTAATAGCAAATGAGATGAAAATAGCTGAAATATGAGTAAATACAGTCAAATCAAATGTAAAAATTTTCACACACTAATGATATATTCACTTAAAACAATAAAACAGTAAAATGATGTAAAATTATTTTCTACAATAATTACAATAGTAAATTCAATCAAAATAATGAAATAATAAAAATAAATATTTTAACACAATAATTACTTACTATACTTTAGTCACTCATATTAATACAATTATGATTCTTTACTTTGTAATTATTCACAATAACAAATTCACTCATAATAATAAAATAATACAAATATTTTACACGATAATTACTCACAATAATAAAGTCTCTCATAATAAAATCATATTTTACACGATAATTACTCATTAATAAATTCTCTCATTATAATAAAATAAAAATATTGTTTACAGCATTATTTATCACAATCAAAGGCCTAAATTCACTCATAGTAATAAAAGAATAAAAGTAAACTTTTATAGCATAATCACTCATAATAATAAAATAATGATAATAAATATTTACTTAGTTATTTACAATAATAATTTCGCTCAATGATAAAATAATAAAAATAGATTATTATTTTACACAATAATTATAGTAATTCACTTATAATGGTAAAATAATAAAAGTACATTATTTTTACAGCATAAATGACCCTTTGCAAAGACCCGCCCCCTTAGTTACTGTTGTTACGTCAGACAAGCCATGGCATGGTGCTCTCACGCTACACATCATGTTGTCACACAGGGAAAAATACATTGCGGAGCAAAGAGGAAACTGACAACACGCCGACAGACAAGACAGAGCAGGTTACTTTTGGTATGAAACAAAGTCTCAGCTTTCAAATTTTGTCATTTTTTAAGAAATTAAAATAATAAATAGCGTTTTGTGGCTCTTTAATGTGTCATTACAGATCGCTGTAGCACCTCAGTTCAAGCGGCACGTGAACCAATCATCTCTACCAATTTACTAGTTATAGCAGGAAATAAACATGAATGAACATCAGAAGGTATCTTGGTTCAACCACTGAAAGACCTCAATATACACCATTTTTCAAGTTCACATCCACCGACATTCTACTCTCCAAAAATGTCAGATTTGGAGTTATGATCGGTCAGATCACCTGTCAATCAAACTCCCGATGCAGGGTCAATTACTCACAATAGTAAATTCACTCACAAGTATGTGCACAGAAAATGTGCATTAACTATTGACAAGACTGCAAGTAGATTTTGGAACTGACACACTTATGTTGAGCATCTCCAAATGGCCAGTTAATCGTCTGGCTGATATATCAGACTATCACTAGCATATGGCTGTGTTTGTGATGCTGTGGATCTCTGACTTTCAGCTAGCTGCTTCTTAAACCCATGTCGGTGTGTGTTTGTGTATATGTAAATGTGTCTGTAGGACTCAAGCAGAAATGGCACACACCTGCCGAGGCACGATTACCTTGGCGACGGTGCACATAGAGGTGGGTGACACCTGTCACTTTGTGTTGACGAGTGGGGGGCGGAGCTACCACCTGAAGGCGTATTCAGAGGGGGAGTGTCAGCGCTGGGTTTCTGCTCTGCAACAGGCCAAAGCAAACGCCACTCAAATGATGCCCCATTCAGGTGAGTGACGGGTCACAGTGCCAATCAAAAGCATCCCAGAATGCAGTTGGTGTGCAGAGCTGTAGTTGGTGACTTTGAATGAATGTGATGAAATATATGATAGATTTGTTTAATAACGTTTGCTCACTAGATAATTCCCATCATTTTCAGGTTTGAAAACTTTACTAATATTTAAAATGTGTAAAATGGGCATAATAAAAAATGAGAAGTGGTGTCGACGTGTTTGTTATTAAGTAATCTGTCTTGTTATTCAGGCTTTAATAATACATTTATGTCAACCATATACATTATTTTTAAACAGGTATGCATTCTTACCTTCTCGTGCCTTTTATTGTATGTAGTAGAACTAAACAGAAATGTCCTTTTCTGTCTCAAAGCACTTAAATAAGTGCATCTTCCATATTATTTATTGCAGATTTACCAACCAGTTTAATCTGATCTCACATGTAAAGGCTGAGAACATGAATGCACAGTAAAATGATATCCTACGTAAAACATTTGTTCCTATGTTTTGAACACTATATTGATATATATATATATATAATAAACAACTGGAATTTCCCTGTTTATTCCGAAAAAAAAGACCCTTTCTATAATGAAAAGGAAACAAAAAAGCATTGCATTGTTTAAGCAAATGCCACTAGGGGGTAGCATTGTTCAAGATTTTATTTTTATATATATATTTATAAATACGCAATTATATGCAAAGTAATTATTATTTCATCATAACTATTATGCATAAAATGTGTTTATTTTTTGTTTTACATTTAATAAACACATTTCATTGTTTCTCTACCGATATTTGAAAATAATAAATGTCTTATTTTTTATTTCACTTCTCAGGTTTTTGTTATTTCTTAGCTTGAGAAAACACATTACTCTCTTGCAGCTAAAAATATAACAACATATTTGATATTTGAATTGTACAGATCATTTTACACTGTTTCCGGCTCCTCCTGTATTATTGCATTTACATGAGTCTCTTTTCTTGTACAGTTTGATGCCAAACGTGATTAATTTGCATACTGCACACCTTCCCATTCGGATGATATCAAGTGCTGCTGAATGGAGTGACGAGCATATAAGCTCCACCCACTGTGCCACTTGGAGAATGTGAGGGGAAAGAGGGAGGGTGAGAAGGAAAACAGGAGTGAGAGGGATGGGAGGGAAGCTGGGAAGGTGACTGAGGAGACTGAGAGGGAACGCTTCATTTTAACATCATCTTCACTAAATAAGCTTTGCTCACTTTGTATTTATCAATGATTCGATCCTGTCGAGAAAAGGTAAGAAAAATTATGAATACATATGTTTGATTGGCATTAAGCATTTGTCTTTTGTCTTAGTGGAAAATAAATTCAGACTTCAAAGATGCTTTTAGCCTAGTATTATATGGATTTGATGGAATAGTCCGTTTCACATACCAAATCAGCTTTACTTTCAGCCTTGTTTTCAAAGTTCTGTATGCAGTAGCTTTTTTAATGATCAGTTATGAGTGGGAATGAGTGTATTATTATAGATTCTCTGAAGCACATTGTGGCTACTCTATCAATCCGTTCACATTTAATAGAACTTGTTTATATTTGCATGTGGTCACTTACTCTTTTATGGGCCAAATACATTTAGTGCTTACAGCTTAGTCTCAGGATTTGAATTGGGAACCTATTGAGCTAATGTTGGATAATATGCTACATGTTTAATAACAATATTACTACATTTTAACATTTTCTGAAGTGAATGTGAGCGATGATTGCTCACCAAATTCTTGGTTTCAAAAGAGTCCACATTTAGGCTTCTTTGAGTGTGGTCCGTAAATTGTGTTGTAAGTGTGAGAAACACGACTCGGTGCAGAGCAGATTATCTGTGATACAAAGTAAGCAGGCTGATGGGACAAATTGGATTGTCAGACAGCCAGTGAACTTAACCTTCGCTTGTTTTCGAAGATCCTTCCAGTCTTTTACACTTGCCTCCACACATTGAATCTTCCCAGTTCTGCGATCCGCTGTTAGTTTAGGTGTGGTTATTCAGGGATGAGTCACTCGTGTATCCCCAGCAGGTCAGAGGAAGGTGATCTTTAATTGATTCTCCAGCGCTGGTGCTTTTCCTCTTACGCCTGCCGAGGTTGAGCAAGCCTCTCTCGTTCTCTCTATTTTAATCCCACCTTCAGGACTCCCTCTGTCTGCAGATGTGGCTCTGTGATGTAAGATGCACCGTTGGCAGGAGACACAGGCACACAATAGCTGTATATGGGTCATCAGACTGGACGAGTTCTCATTCTCTCCTCTTTGATTCTGCTCTCTAGAGATCCACGCTAATCCACTTTCCACCGATTGTTTTCTTGGCAAGCAGAAAATTGCAGTCTTTTGCTTGGATTAGGTTGAAGACGCTTTAGGTTAGATACAGTTTGGGTAGAAAGATTGAAGCTGGCATTTCAGTGATCGTGTAATCTTTGCAGCTGATGGGTTCGGCTTGAATTGATCCTCACTGGAAAAATAATCTAACTTGTAAAAAGTTTTTTTTTTAACAGGAGTCGGTGTATTATGTTGTGTGAACTCAAGAATACTCTAAAAATGTTTCTAGCAAAAATAATTTTGTTGACCTTACTTGGATACTCATGCGTTTGATCAAAGTAAATATATAGTATGTTGCAAAAGCAGGCATTATTTTATTATAATAAATGGACTTCCTTTTCTTGTTCATTATTAACCAATATCCAGAACCAATTTTTAGTTACTGGTTTATTTTTGTTTTCTGATTGACAAAATAAATAATAATAAGACTATATAAAAATGAAGTAATTCATCGTAAATAAAAGTAATGCTATATAATAAATAATTAATATTACAATGAAAAACAAAAAAATGACAAATTTATATACATTAATTTATATGCTTTTCGCCACAATAAATAATCATAATACTACAGTGAAAAACAAAAAAGAAAATATTAATATTATTATTATCATGCAGTAATAAATTATGAAAAGTTGCTATGTAAATGGTTGCAAATTCATTTTTGTGTCTGTTTTAGGGGCTATGTCTAACTGTTAAGCTTATATCAATACATTATTATTAAAGTATTATCAATTATTATTTATTATTAATTATGCAAACAATGTTTAAGTGTTTTATAATTTTGTCATATTCTCACCGAGGCTGCATTTATTTGATCAAAAATACAGTAAAAACAGTCATGAGAATTATTAGTGCAATTTAAAATTTAAATTTGAATATATTGTAAAATGTAATTTATTACTGTAATCAAAGCTGAATTTTCAGCATCATTACTCCAGTCTTCAGTGTCACATGATCCTTCAGAAATCTTTCTAATATGCTGATTTGCTGCTCAAGGAACATTTATTATTATTATCAATGTTGAAAATGGTTGTGCTGCTTCATATTTTTGCTGGAACTGTGATGTGTTTTTTTTTAGATATAACATATTTCACATATGACACAGACCGGGTCACCTGATGATCTGATCAGGGTGCAGCAGGTCGTTTAAAGGTCGCGTTTCTACCCTTTTGTCTCCAGTCTCTGATATACAGACTGAGTGAGTTTCAGTTAACAGTGTGCCAGCATGTGGACTGCTCGTCTCCTCGTGTAGCCGCCTCAGGCTCATACAAGCAAGTGCTTCCAAAAATGTCTTACGTCACACAAGATGCAATTTACAGCCTGTTCTCATCTATTGTCCAGTGAGTGATGGTCATGTTGTGTGAGAGAGCAGGCAAAGCGAGACGCATTAGCCCATGTTGTTGTTTTTTTCATTCTCCTTATAGCTTCTAAAAATAGCCATCCTCCCAATTGCGTGGGACCATGTTTCCATGGTAACGGTGTTCATTCACAGAAATCTGGTGTTTTGAATGGGTTGCTGGAATATGGAAATCTGGATCTTTCTCCCTCTGATTGCTTTCTGTCTGTTTGAGCATGTTATCTCTCTCTCTCTCTCTCTTTCTCCGATGGCCATCTCCTCCCATTACAGCTTTTGTTCATCTCTGTGGTCATTTTTCAGCATCCATTTAAAGCCTGGCTGAAAAATATGCTTGTAATTGAAAAGACATCCACAAAAGGACAGTTTTAGTTCTCAGCTGTCACGTCAGACCCCTCCAGCACTGCGTCTGTGTGCGTTTGTGCTATTTATAAAGTTATTTTAGTTCAGCCTGCAGCACTGCAATAAATTTGTTGGCTGCAGAACATCATAATAACACATAATAACTTCACTTATTTGAAGGAATGCGCCATACTTTTGATTACCACAGGTATTTATTTTGAATTGCCCATCAGTTTGACAAATAAAGACAAATAAAAAGTGCACATACAGAAATGTGCTTACGTTGGAAGTCTGTAGCAGGGGTTTCAAACTTTTGAATGCCAAGGACCCCCAAATATGACGATCCCCTTGAGCTACTATATATTTTAAGACTTATTTTTTACTATGTGAGAAAAATATTATTATAAAGACAACATTCAAAAAAGAAATATTCATTATTATTAATATTATTAATAATAATGATGATCATAATTAACAATAATTATTTTGACAAATTAAAACGTAATCCTTATCACAATAAATAGTTATCTAAAGCAACACAGTTTTTTTCCACTAAAATTTTCCACAAACCCCCTAAAACTGTGGTTCTTGAAACTTCTGGAATCATAAAATGAAATGTGGTTAATGTACGTACCTATATAGACACTCCCATTCTTTGTTAATAATAATTTATAGATAATATATTTTATGGTTCTGTTAGTATTATTTAGAGGGCCTTCAAATATTGTGTTGGATATTGGAGGGCCTTCGAGTCAAAAAGGTTGATAATCACTACCCTAGAAAATAGCATATTAAAAGAAAAAAGTTTGTTTGGACCAGTAGTGATTTAAAAGCTATACAAATAAATATGGAATATGTAATAATATTTTTCACATAATATTATAGTATTTTCTTTTAGCTTTAGTGCAATGACAATATAACATAAATGGCAATCAACACATTTTTAAACAAATAAATTTTTAAACAATACATCCTTATAATATCACTCAATTCACACAGTATTAAAATACAATTACATATGAGCTGAGGGCTGGATGTGTTCAATTATTTTCTGTGGTAATCGAGAGCATGTCACATGCTGTCAATGTGCCTTTTTCGGAGTACATGGCGTATTTAAATTGACGCAAATGAAAATGAGTCTGTACGGGATATACATTCAATTGTTTGTACTTTTTCAAATCCCATAAAGTTCAGCTACTGGAACTTTTTTGGAAAGACATATTGTCAATGTTTTGTTGGCTTTTCCTACATACAGTACGTACAGCCCATCGAAAAGACAGCACTTTTTCGTTTTCATTCATGTAAAATTAAAAACAGAGCTGCACTTCACTTACATTTACATTACATTTAGTAATTTAGCAGACACTTTTATCCAAAGCGACTTACAAATGAGGACAATGGAAGCAATCAAAATCAACAAAAGAGCAATGATATGCAAGTGCTATAACAAGTCTCAGTTAGCTTAACGCAGTACACATAGCAAGTTTTATTTTTTATTTTTTTTATTTTTTTTTTTAAGAATAGAGCAAGCTAGTGTTAGAGGCCTTTTTTTGCTTTTGTTAATTGTATAATAAATAAAAAGAAAACAAAAAGAAAGAATAAAAAAAAATTAGAGAAGCTAGTGTTTTTTTTTTTTTA